GGCATCCCACTAGGAAGACAGGAAATCTGCAGACCATGTTCTTTATCTTCAGAATTCCTTTTGTCACTGAAGTCGTGTGGTCACCAAATGTGGCCACTGCCTATGGACCTCCAGGAGAGCTCTTTTGATTGCAGTTGGAGAGCCTTGCCCACAAAGATTCTGCTTCCCTGTGTCAGCACCTGGGGATCCAGAATGCTGGCAAGTCCAGCTGAGTCTTCAAAGCAACTCTCAGTGACTCTGAACATCTGATTTGGCAGGCCTGCAAAGGTCTGCAGAACCCCCACTCCCCCACACAACCACCCCCTTCCCCCATTTCCCCAACCCCGCACCAACTAAATCACAAATGGCTCTCCCTGTGACTGTTTTGTTTTGTTTTCTCATCTGCCAAAGATTTGTTTAAGCACAGATTTTTGGTGCCTTACAAGAATCCGTTATTTCTTTAAGTCAACCTTGACATTTTTTTGATGAACACTATTTCTTTTAATAAAGCCATAAGTTATTTATTTATTTGGAAGTCACTATTAAGTCATCACAATATTTATTAACTCAGTAATTATCTCTTGCTTGAAACACAGAGAACAGGGAACTGGGGCCTCAGTGGTAATATTCTAATGGGTTGGGGTAGGGTGGGATGAAAAGAGAACCACAGAAACAAGTCAAGTAATTTCACATGGCTGTTCATGTTGTGAAGAAAGACAGCAGCGTGCAGTGAGAAGATCATAAGAAGTATGGCTTAGACAGGGTGACTTGGGAAAACTTCATTACAGAGGGACTTCCTGAAGATTAAATGATGAAGAACTAGCTGTGCTGGCTGCCAGAAGCCTAAATATGTAGTTAAAGTCACCAAAGGATTGCTCAATGGGAAATGACAATGAGCCGGATTGTTAGGCAATGGTGGTCTCTGAGAAATTATGAAGATAGCTCAGGCATCATTCATGTATGTGAAGTGGAGAAATCTTCTATTAAAGATGAAGTAGTTCAGCCATTTGAGTTTATTCTGTTGAGATTTCTGTTTAGATCTGTGTCCCATTTTTTTAATTGGATTATTTGGCATTTTGGTGTCTAGACTTTTGAGTTCATTGTGAACTTTGGAGCTCAGCTCTCTGTCAGATGTGGGGTTGGTAAAGATCTTTTCTCATTCTGTAGGCTCCCATTTTGTCTTGCTGACTGTGTCCTTTGCCCCAGAAGCTTCAGGAGGCCCCACTTATTAATGGTTGCTCTCAGTATCTGTGCTACTGATGTTATGTTTAGGAAGTGTTCTCCTGCGCCAATGTGTTCAAAGCTACTTCCCACTTTCTCTTCTGCTGTTCAACATCCTTAACCATTAGGAAAATGAAAATCAAAACAACCATGAGAAACCATCTTATAACTGTCAGAACGGCTAAGATCAAAAACACTGATGACAGCTTATACTGGAGAGGATGTGGAGTAAGGGGAACACTTTTCCATTGCTGGTGGGTGTGCAAAATGATACAGCCATTTTGGAAATCAGTGTGGCGGTTTCTCAGAAAATTGGAAATCAATCTACCTCAAGACTCAGCAATACCACTCTTGATCGTATATCCAAAATATACACACTCATACTACAAGGATATATGCCCAACTATGTTCATACAACATTATTTGTAATAGCCAGAACCTGTAAACAACTGAGATGCCCCTCAACCAAAGAATGAATATAGAAAATGTGGTACATTTACACAATGAAGTACCACTGGGCTGTAAAGTAATGACATCATGAAATTTGCAGGCAAACCGACAGATCTAGAAAAAAAACATCCTGAGTGAGGTAACCCAGACCCAGAAAGACAAATATGGTATATACTCATTCATAAGTGGATATTAGACATAAACAGAAAGACAGCCAACCTACAGTCTACAACCCCAGAGAAACAAGGTAACAAAAAGGAGCCTAAGAGAGGCATATATGGATCCAACCCAGAAGGGGAAATAGACAAGAGATCCTGAGTAAACTGGAATCATGGAAGGGAGGAGGGGAGGGCGGAAGGGTACAGGGGAGAGAGGAAGAGGATAAGGAAGAGAACATGAGGAAATGGAATGGTGGAGTTGGGTGAAGGACAGAGAGGGAGAATAAGGAAAGAAATGTCATGATAGAGCCATTATGGGATTAGGAGAAATCTGGCACTAGGGAAATTCTCAAATATCCACAAGGATGACCACAGATAAAACTCTAAGCAATAGTGGAGAGGGACACTAAACTGTCCTTCCCCTGTAATCAGATTGAGGACTACTATAATTGTCCTCATTGAACCTTCATCAGTAACTGATAGAAGCAGATGCAGAGATCCATAACTAATCACTGGGCTGAGCTCCTGAAATCTAAGGAGAGAGTGGAGTAATAATATGAGCAAAGGGGTAAAGGCCATAATGGGGAAACCCACAGAAACAGCTGACCTGAGCTAATAGGAGCTCATGACTCCATACTAACAGCTGGAGAACCTGCATAGGTCCAAACTACACCATCCTAAATGCAGGTGACAGTGGATAGCTTGAGCAGTTTGTGAGGTCATTGGCAATGGGACCAGGATCTGCGCCTAGTGCATGAATTGGCTTTTTTGAGCCCATTTCCTATGGAGAAATACCTTGCTAAGTCTAGATACAGTGGGGTGGGCCTTGGTCCTGCCTCAGTGTGGTGATGGGACAGACTTTGTTGATTTCCCATTTTACTCCTTACCCTCTCTGAGGAGCAGATGGGGGTGGGGTGGGGGGAAGGTGAGGAGAGTTGGAGGAGGGGGAACTGAAGTGGCATGTAATAAACAAGAAAAAAATGAAAAAATATAACGAAGTTGGGGTGGCTAAGATCACTGCGTGTTAACTGCTATATGTAGTGCTAAGAAGAGAAATAAAGGATCCAGAGTCTCCAAGACATGAAGAAGAGACCAGAAGTAAGAGAAAGTTAAAGAGTCTCCACAGGACACATGTTTCACAGGAGCAGAGGGCTCTCTGGGAGTTGTCCTGGAAGCAGACTGGACAGGAAAAAATAGCCCCTTACTTCTTGGCCCAAGGTACACTAGGACCGATACAATGAAGTTTCATTTACTTGAGAAAGAGTGGCAGAATATGGGATTCTAGTAATGAACAACTGAGGAAACTTGAAATTCATTTTACCATGGTGATAAAATAATATTACTACTTTTCCTATAGTAACCATAGTTATGGTTTTTATTTGTAGTGATCTAAATAATCTTATCAACTTGTTACAGTCCTATGTGAAGTATTTCTCATACACATCTGCCAACAACAACTCTGTGATCTTTCAAACGTACAGAAAGGTCATATATAATTGATGACAACTTTACAGGCCATAAATCATTGATCAGAACAAAGAAGGAACTGAAGCTTTGAAGAATCCTGGCAATCTCTGGGAAAGATAGCAGACAAATAGCTTTAGAGTTAAGACATCAACTATGTGGCTTAACAGTGCAGATGATTAAGGCAGTTCTTTTTTAAGAGTCTGCACAAACTGCTTATGGTAATTAGGGGTTATTCCCAAACTCCTCTTGCCCATCTTATATTTAAGTTACTGGAGGCCCACGATATCTAAAGGTGGCTCCAATACTCATTTCTCTATTCTTTCACTCAACTAGTAGAAAATTCCTGATGACCTTTGAAGACCAAAGTCCATTCATTCACAAAATTTGAGGGCAACTACCATCAGCTATAGACCATTGTAGACACAGGAAATAAAATAAAAAATAGAAGAAAGTCTTCCCACTTCATCTACCTTTATTCTGGTGGTACCATGTATTACCCTCTCTGGAAATCATTTATTTCTTCAATTTCCCAATAACACATTGAAGACCCTAGACATATATCACCTCACTTTTCCAAGTCTAAGTGAGATCATGCCCACTCTCTGTCCACAGTCTTCCAATAGGTTCTGAGCCAATGTCTCTAAGAGTTTTGTTCTTATTGTAAAAACCACATATGAATCCCAAAATCCATGACTTCCCTTTCCCATCCAGTGCAAGTAATAGGAAGAAAGGAAACAATCAAAAGGTTAGGGAAAGCAGGCTAGTATGTCAGGCAAGAGGAAAAATAGCTCGATCTACTTTTGATGTAATTTTACACAATGAGACATCAAAGATATCATTCTGGATTCTTAACTCTTTCTTCAAGTTGGGAAGATGGGCAACATTATACATGAATAAAGGTATATGATATTGTGACTATAACTCACATTGTGATAAATGAATTGAAAATAAAATGTTTCAAAGATGAACAAATATATTACTTTTGGTAAATGCTGATGAAACTGAAATGTTTGTTAGAGTTTGATAATTAGTCTCATTTCAATTTTAAGTTGCAAATTATGAATTTGACTCTTCTATACATTACAAAGTCCCTACCCCTAAAACAACAAAAAAATGATATTCAAATATATCAGTGGGTTTCATGTCTATTCTGTTATACTACTTGGAAATAGCAGACTGAGGGATGCCTCAGGAATCACGAATGACTGAGTTTTATTTCACTGCATTACAAGCAAAATCAAGACAGAACTTCCATGCTCATCTCTGTCTTAAGGATACTAATTTTTATTTTATGTCACTGGGTTTTCTGTGAAAAAAATCTTACTACAAAATGTATAATCAACTGGATTCCAGGAGTATGTCTCAGTGCTTAGCTGTAGGTGATGGATACTATTTCAGTTCAGATACACAGAGGAGGGCCTAGGCCCTCCCCCCAAATGATATGACAGACTTTGATGATCCCCATGAAAGGCCTCATCATCCTTGGGGAGTGTGGGGGTGAGTTGGGGGATTTGTAGGGGTCATGGGAGGTTGGGAGGGAGAGGGAATGGGGGTTGATGTGAAAATGATTGTTTCTAAAGAAAAAAAAGAGAGAAAATGTTTCTACTACCTTATACTCAATGTGTTCTCCTCTGTAATATCTGAAAACAAATATACTAAGTTCTTTATCTACTATCAACACATTTGTGAATGTACATCCAACACATCTTCTTCCTGTTTTAACAGATCTCTGAAGTACACATGCCTGAGGACCTAAAGAAGGAAAGGGGAAATCTGTTCAACATGGGGAGACCCACAAGAGTTTTAAGGAAGAGTAGCTATTCACAAGGGGAAGATGAAGCTCCCCGGTCATCAACAGATAACTCAATAGAAACACATCAAAAAGCCAAGCCTCGAGTCCTTCAGAAGCCTACCGAGATGAATTGGCCACTGGTCACTCGGCCCTTAAACAAAAGTTCAGTCCAAGGCAACAAATGGAAGAAACCAGCTGCAACCCAAGAGAAACGAAGGTCCTTACTTCATGAGTTTTGCAAGAAATATGGTGGAGTAAAGGATTCCCAGTCAAATCTTTTTCGTATGGTATCCAGGATCTATGTAGAAGACAAACACAAAATCCTATACTGTGAAGTACCAAAGGCTGGCTGCTCTAATTGGAAAAGGGTGCTGATGGTCCTAAATGGGTTGGCTTCCTCTGCACTCAATATTTCCCATGACACTGTGCACTATGGAAAGCATCTGAAAACATTAGATAGCTTTGACTTAAAAGGAGTGTACATGCGTTTGAATACCTATACCAAAGCTGTGTTTGTTCGTGATCCCATGGAAAGACTAGTGTCAGCATTTAGGGATAAATTTGAGCATCCCAATAGTTACTACCATCCAGTGTTTGGAAAGGCAATTATAAAGAAATACCGACCAGATGCCAGGGAAGAAGCATTAAATAATGGGTCCGGAGTCAAATTCAAAGAATTTGTCTACTATCTGCTGGATGCTCACCGTCCAGTAGGGATGGATATTCACTGGGAAAGGGTCAGCAAACTGTGTTATCCATGTTTGATCAACTACGACTTTATAGGGAAGTTTGAAACATTAGAAGAAGATGCCAGTTACTTTCTCCAGCTAATTGGTGCCCCAACAGAGCTGAAGTTTCCAACCTTCAAGGATCGGCACTCCTCTGATGAAAGAACCAGTGCCCACATGGTAAGACACTACTTAAAGGACCTGAGTCAGGAGGAGAGGCAGCGCATCTATGACTTCTACCACTTGGACTATTTGATGTTTAACTACACAGCTCCACATTTGTAATCTGCATTCATTTTCTAAAGCCCTACATTGACTTAATGATGATGGCCTCAAATCAACTACTGTAATTTTCCTACAATTCTCTGTATGGGGGAAATTTAACTAAGTGGAGTTGTCTTGATTGAAAGAAGATTTTTTTAACCAAAGAGTATGACAGCAATTGGCACAAAGTTATTGGAAAATCATCTCAAGGAGACATGTAAACAACTTGATGTGCTTTTTAAATATTGGGGAAAGAGCTGTTTTGCCATTGTGGCTTACACCGTGGAAGCAATAACCCAGCCAGCTGTTACATTAACCAAGAAAGCCTCTTGCATGTAAAATAAGGGGGGATGATAATGGAGAGAATTATGCACCCAAATCCTGGCATCTATCATGTAACATGCATGTGTCTACTCTTAGCAGCCTGTGGCACATGCATCAAATGAGTGGGTGGTATTCTTATACACTGAATCTTCCTAGACACTGTGATGAGGAATCCACTGTTAAATGTTTGGGCGTGGGCATTTTACTATTGATCTGGAGGCATTCTCTGATTTAAAATACAAGAATAGAGCACAAAAACAGATGAAGCTTTGTCTTTTTTTTTAAGGAGTCGGTAAAAATGCACAACATGCAAAGATCAAAACAACTATAGCCACCTTTCTCTTCCAGGAAAAACTTCAGGGGATTGATTTCCTTTTTTGTGGGGGGAGGGAGAGACTTCATGATGAGACAAATGAGCACAACCAAGCAGGTCCTCATTCCCAAGCGTCATCAGATAGAAATGTGCTCTCAATTCTGCTTTAATTGGAAAAGGGGCAATTGTTTCAGGATGGAATAATCATCAAAACCAAAAGTTGCTGCTCTGAATATAGAGCTCTAACAATAAGAGTTTTATAAGAATATTACTTGAATCAAAGCACCATGTGCACAGCTTCCTATGCAGAATACACTCTAAGAATAGCTCTCATCTGCAGTCTAATTATTCAACTTGGGAATAACTTTTTAAGAACTAATATACCACTTCAAAGACAGGTTGTGTTCTAGAGAATAAACATAACAAGAGCCCCTAGAAATGTTTTTAATAGGCTTATGCATAAGCAAATTAAGGTATTTTCTTCTTAAGTTTAAATACTCTATACTAACAAAGTCAAATGCCATTGCATTCAAATATTAAATCAAAGTCTTTGGAAAACAGGACCATGTGTCACCCTTATGAAAAGTTGCAATGCACTTTGGAAATTTTTTCCAAGGAATCTTAAATTTAAAGACACATTCAGATGAGAACTATGTTTTAATTAGTTAACTACTTCCCTAACTTAAGCAAACCACATGTCAATCAAATCCTGTGGAAATGTTTTTCTTAAACACATTTCCCTTCCCAAGCTATCGTTTTTGATCAGTAAATATTCAGCTGTCTTGCAAAGAAAGCTAGGTCTTAATATTTGAATATTAATAGACCAAGATCCTTATAGTCATACGTGTCTCATTTTGACTTTCCATTTCATGGCTGAGTATTCATAAATTGCTTCACTCTGTGCACACACCCGCCCTATCTCCTCCACATCTCACATGAGTGGGAGCGCTGCAGTGGGCCACATCAGCAGCAGTATTAAACTCGGCACAACAACCTTTACCTACTTTCCACCCCATTTCTTTATGCCTCCAGACCATACACGAAGGCCGAGTAATCTAAATTATATAAATTAAAATGTTGCTGTACTGGGTAAAGTGGGTTCCTAGTAACTTAAAGACCTTAAAATTATCTTTTTTCTGGAGAGAGAAAGGTAAACATTACAGGGACCTGAATGTTTATTCTCACACCGCTCAAAGCTCATTTTAGACAGCGCCTGCTGCAAAGGCAGCATTCCTAAGTAGAAGTAAGAAACAATGATAGCATCAAAAATGTATTTTTAAAAAACCACTTTCATAGCTCTGGAAGGGAAAAATATGAGAACGCTCTCTCATATAAGCATTTGCACTGAGGCAGGGGCGACATATTTATATGTCGTGTTTAAACATGCACAAAGCCTTTGGCAGTGGAGAAGTGAGAGACAAGGACAAGGCAAAGTTCTTCCCAAGAGCCACTCTGTGACTTTTGCTGTGCGATGATGCCACCATACACGTGGCTTCACATTTTGGAGCTCTAGCTACCTACCCTCTTCAACCACAGTGTGAAAATGCTAAATGGAAGCTTACGGAAATACACAACTCATAAGTTTTAAGATACGCAGCATCCTCGGGTGAAATTTCTCACTCCCTCTCTACTGAACCTGAATTCTCAACCAGCCCCATAGCCAGTGCACCCATGTTGTCTATTACCCAGTCTTTGCAGTCATCAAGTTGGCTTTCACGGGGCTGCAGTGCTTGTATTTAAGTGCCTTTACATAATAGTCTAAGGCTACATCGCAATGTCTATATCATTGACCCCACTTCATCTCACCAGGCAAGCATTTCCCCATCTCACAATACTATAAGAAAAGAGAGTGCATTCCAACAAGGGGTTGAAAGAAAGTGAGTGATAACACAGTGCCATAAATTTTACTATAGCATATCGTCGTAAGTGTTCTCTTTTTATTAGTTATTCTTTTTTTCCTCAATATATGTTAAATAGAAACATGCATGCTTCACATGTCATTCCCAGCTCCCTCTCCCATCCCTCCTCCCTTGGTCCTCAACCAGACCCTACTCAGACTCCCACCCAATCCCCACATCATTCCCCAGAGAGGGTGAGGCCCTCCTTGGGGAGAATCTCCAGAGTCATCATTTCATCCAGGGCAGGACCTAGCCCCTTCCCCATGTGTCCAGGCTGAGAGAGAATCCCTCCATGTGGAATAGGCTCCCAAAGTTCATTCATATGCCATGGTAAACACGGATCTATTATCAAAGGTCCCAGAGATTATTAGTTATTCTTAATCTCTTAATATGTCTAATTTGTTAATTAAACTTTATCACAGGTATGTATGCATGAATAGGAAGACAGTAACCTATATAGAGTTAGGTCCCTGTGCTTTCAGGTACACCTCCCATAGATAACAGGAGATAGACAGCTTCACTTATCCTTTTTCTGACTCTTTCTGCCTACATAACTAAAGGTCACTCTTCGTCCCTGTCTCAGACTCAAAGGCTGACACCATGCACAACTGTGCATTCAACAAACCAGCTTTGACTTTTCTCACCGAATAACAACCCTCTATATAACCTTCCTTTAGATGACTTTACGTCAGAGCTAAAGAAGCAGGTCACCATCCTTGGTCAGTTGTTATATTTAGGAGTGCTTCATTCATGTGCCTTGAACAGTCCTCCTTTGCGGGACAACTCAAGCTCACATTTGTAGTATCTGCTTGTGTGCATAGACCCATGTGGGTACTTCTCTGGACAAACATAATTTCATGAATGTAAAGGCAAGGGAACTAATCCAGTCTCAACCTTGCAGACGCCCAACTTACTCATTTTAACATCAGTGCACATGTGATGTGATTACATATCTTCCGAGGAATCCCTCAAGTACCTATTTGCTTTAATACTGGACAGCAGCTTGGCGCAGACTCTTCATTCTGCTATTCCTGTCTAGAATTCCTATAAGATAACAAGTTGGCAATGAATCTAAAACCACAGTTATTTAATCAGGAACCACCTAAGCCTAAGCATGATTGGTGTCATTGCCCCAGAAGCTACCACAACCTTTAACAGGATCCAAGTGCCCAATTTTGTTTGGAAGCATCCATTAAGTCTATGGACATGTGAGACCACATGCTATCTTCTTTAACTTCACAGTCTATAAAATATTCCCCAGGAATTCAAGGACTACTTGGCTGCCCTTCATAATTAGAGGGAGTGAATGATCTTGTATTCTGAGAGAATTTATTTTCTATCTTCAAAAATAAATAGTATTTAGCAAAAAGCCATATATAAGCAGATGCATAGAATTTTAAATGTCAGAGTAGCTTTGGTGCATATCTGGAGGAGTTATCAGGATTAAGGACAAATAGACTGAGTGGTAATATGCATCTCCCCGCTGTGACCTCTAGTTTGGTGTCCTGGGGCAACTTCAGTCCTGGACCTCCCTAGCATGTGGAGTAGCAGAAGTCTTGCCTCCAGCCAACATCCTCAATGTGTTCTACTATTTCAGAAAATACTAGTCAGTAGACGTTACCCACCTGGGAACTTTAGACCAACATACACTCAGCTTAATCCTACCTTAAGGATAATTCCTCCTCAATTACAATTATTAACAATATCGTTATCATACAGAACATGTTTCCATATTTACTGTTCATCGGGCAATCTTTAAAAACTTTCCATATATTCATCTATTTAATTCTTCCAGCCAATCTAACTTCGATGCTAGTATAAGCAGTCTCCTTCCTTGCCACACATAATAAGAGAACTGGAAGCAAAGTGCTTGGGCGAGTTGTCGGAGGAGACACAACCGGTGGGGCAGGGAGCCAGCTACCGAGCCCCACTAACAAACCTATTCTTAGGCTGAAATTTTCACTTTTTGTGGCCTTGACATGCAGAATAGCTAAAAGTAAAAAATACATACTATAATCTTAAAGTGTTTTTTTTTTTGAGATAGGATCTTACTATGTAATGCTGTCTGTCCTGACTCACTCTGTAGACCAGGCTGGCCTTAAACTCACAGAGATCTGCCTACCTCTGCCTCTCAAGGTCTAGGAATAAAGGCAGGTAACACCACACCCAGAAGAGAATATTTTGGATATAAATGTATATTGTCATGATTTAACTAGCTAGTTATTACACTTCAGGTTAGTTCATCCCTTTATCACTAGTGAGTTAAGCTGATAGGTTGGTTCCACGGTTTAGGAAGACATGAGTCTTTAGTGTCTGCTGTACTTTCTTAACCATACTAAAACAGGAGCACAGTAGTTTTGAAAGAGTAAAGGAGTCATCGAACAGGCCTATCCCAATAAAAACACTTGACCAAGTGAGTCTGATCAGAGGAAATGTCCTGCCAGGTGAGTAACGAAACAAATATCAGTATATACAAATAACATCACCAAACTGGGAGCTCCCAGTATTCCCTAGAACATGAGTGGGGAAGTCAAGGAAGTCAGTTGGAGTTCCCAGTTGAGCTTTCTTTCCATGACCAAACCTTTGGCTTCTCATTCCCATTGCGGGCATTTTTGTCCCACAGATGGATAAGTGATGGTGACATCTGTTGGAATGGTAAGTCTTCTGACCCGTTCTCCGTGTTTTAATTTAGGACTATTTGCTGTCCTCTCCCTTGCCTGACATTGAGTGAGCAATGGGCATCTCATCTTCAGAAGACACAGTGATTTCCTTGGGTTTGAAACTGGAGGCAACAGCACTTTCTGAGCCTGCTTCTCAGTGAACTCATACAGCACACAACCTAACAATACAGTATACATTACGTCTTAGTTATGGTATCTATTGCTGTGAAGAGATACCATTGCCACAGCAACTCTTACAAGGAGAACATTTAATTAGGGCTGACTTACAGTTCAGAGGTTAGTCCACTACTGTCAGGGTAGGAAGCATGGTGGGTGCAGGCAGAGCTGAGAGCTCTACATCTGGATGTGCAGGTAGTAGAGAGAATGAC